TTCTGCCCACTGGTACTAGAGATTCGGGGACAGAAGGGTGGCAAGTGAAAGTGACCTCTTTGCCCAACAGGGCCCTGCAACACCTGCATTCAGCCACACCTCAGGTTCTATGCTGGACCCCATTTTGTCTTACTCACTTTTACTTCTCCTTGGAGCCTGGGTCTCCTCCCCTCACTAGGGTTCTGAGAACAGAGAAGGGGCCACTGAAGACTCCAGGAGACTTCTTCAGTGAAAACAGGCTTTGGGGCCATTGCTAAGTCTGCAGACCTATGTGCAAGAAGAACCACACACAAGGCAATACACAAGTGAAACTGGAATTTACTCAGTTGTCCCTCTTAGTGGCAATATACAAACACAGAACTCCATCACTGCAGATATAAACACAAGATAATCCTGAAATATAGAGCACATGGTACACACAATCATATCTATTGTATGGTCTTATTAAAAAAATATGAGGAATAGGAATAAAGGATACATCTTCCTTCCAGACATTACTTCTCACCAAATAGAATACAACAAATACTACTGTTTATAGCAGTTTAAATGATTGCAGATTTAATCTCTTAACAATTATGTGTCTGATCTGTGCATTCTCATGGAAGTATTTCTACTTAACCCACTGACAGGCTCTGTGTTAGCTTCAAACATTAGAAAAAATTACACTCACTTAAGAGTTCTATAATAATGGCCATGCAAGTTTAACTACAATAGGAGAGTATGAATAATGTAAGAAGCACAGCACTTTAGACAATAAATTTAACAAAATATAAAGAAGTGGCATTTAATGTCAAAAGTTCTGACGTAAACGTTCCAGTCAAGATGGCAGAATAGATGGTCCCCAGCATCACTTTGTCTGATAAATCAACCAACTTACAACCATTAAAAAGCAATGACAGCCAAGCTGTCACTGCTAGAACTCAAGAGGAGGAGAGACCTATGGAGTTCATGAAGGCAGGAGAAGCCATGATGAGAGAAAGAAAGGATCACTCCCACCATTTTGAGCCCCAGCCACTTTAAGGCTGGAGCTTGTGAACACATGGAGCAAGAGATGTCAAAAGCCACAGCTGTGCCCTTTGTATGAAGTTGCTTGAAAGTGGCAGGGGAGAAGAGGGACTTAATGGCTTTCAGGATTTCCATGACCCATGTAGGAGTGAGGAGCTGCAGGCAACAGAAAAAAGTAACCACTGAGAGGCTGGTAACGCATGATAAGGGACCGGTGCATGGCCTGTCCTATGGGAAGTGTTTGAGGTGTGGGTAGTTGGGGAGATGGCCCATCAGGGGAATATTGGTGCACAGCATAGACAGCTCATCTGCTCTCCAATCAGCACAGGATCACTCAGTGTAGACTGGTCAGGAATATAGAATTGCTGGGGTTGAAGTTTGTTGAAAAGACTCAGGCCCAGACCAGAGTTTCCACACGACCAAGGCGTACCAGACCTCACAAGACCAGGAAGTACATACGAGGTCAACCATTAAAACATGATCCGCACAGAAAGCCTTCCCCAGGGAATCAGCAGCAAAGCAGCAATTTAGCTAAATCACAGGGCTCAAGTGCTGGTCTCCACAGGAAGTTCCTCCATTTTAGAAGCAAAGGACAACAAATTAATTCCAGTACAGAGTTTAAGTGTGTGTGTGTGGGGGGGGGGGGGCAGCAAATAACCCAAAACAGAAGTGAAAGAAAAAACAAAATACCCACAGATCAAAGTTTGATCCTAACTAGTAAAGGTCTAATACCACCAAAGAACACCTATAAAATCAAGGACTAGAAGCACCTGGGCTCCCAAGCCAGGGAGGTGGGAAGGCCAAGGGCCTCAGCCATGCCCACCCAACGACCACAACCAGCCCACTGATGACCACTGAGCCTCCACAGGAAGCACCCTGGGCTCCTGAGCCAGGGCATTGAGGGGCCATGGATCTCAGCCACACATCCCCAACATCTGCATCCAACCAATCCACCACAGGAAGTGCCCTGGGCTCCTGAGATGGAGCTGTGTGGGACCAAGGGTCTCAGCCACCCCCCCAATATCCATAATGAGCCCAGTGATGACCACCAAGTTGCTGCAGGAAGCACCCTGGCTCCTGAGCCAGCCAGGTCTATGCGAGAGCCAAGAGCTTCAGCCATGCTCCCCCCAAATCTACAACCAGCCCAGTGATGACCACTGAGCAAGTGATGGTGGGATCCCAAGCTGGGATGGTGGAGGGCTGAGGCCTTGGCCACACCCACTAACACCTGCAACCAGCCCAGTGATGACCATTGTTTCACCACAGGAAGTGCCCCGGTCTCCCAAGCTAGGGCAATGGGGAGCCAAGGGCCTCAGCCATGTCCCCTGGACATCGAAACCAGCCCAGTGACAAGTGAGATGTTGCAGGAAGCACTCCAGGCTCCTGAGCTGGGGCATTTGGGGGCTATGGGCTTGAGCCACACCCCCTGACATCTGCATCCAGCCCAGTGACAAACCAGCCACTGCTAGAAGTACCCTGGCCTCCCCTGAAGGAATGAGGCCACGGGCTTCGATTATGTTCCACCTCATTCCCCCTCTTCCCACCCTATTTCCCCTCCCCCATCTCCTCACCAACTGCTCCACATCTTAGAATGAGGTATGGAGCCAGTGGAAGCTGAACACAGCCACAACTAGGCAAGCAGCTGCCACTGCATGGGCCCTGCCAGGGTCTAGAGGCATGGATCTGGGGAAAGCTGAACCCAGCCGGAACTAGGAAAGCCACTATCACCACCCTGAGCCACACTGGGGTACTAAGGCATGGAGTCAGGGGAAGCTGAACCCAGCCACAACCAGGTACAGAGCATACCCAAAACACCATTTTCATGCAGGTAGCCCACATAGCCAACACAACTGCCATGGATAATGCAAAAGTATTTAGGCTCTATAGCAGCAGTCACAGCCACTGTATAGATGGTACACCAGATTCTCAAGTGCATTGACACAAGGAGAGGGACCAGTGGAAACACACGAACAAAAAAACACTCTCTCCATAAAGTGCACTCCAGAGTAAAAGCAGCATCTGATTTATAATAGGTGTTTTAGTCCGTTTTATGTTGCTATAACAGAATTACCTGAGACTGGGTAATTTATAAAGAGAGGTTTATTTGGCTTACGATTCTGGAACAGCTGCATCTGGCACAGGCCTCAGGCTGCTCCTACTCATGGCAGAAAGTGGTAGGCAGCCGGCGGGTACAAGCAGATCAAATGGCAAGAGGAAGCAAGAGAGAGGAAGCAAGAGGGAGAGAGAAGGTGCCAGGGTCTTTTTAAGCAATGAGCTCTCACGGGCACTAATAGAGTGAGAACTCATTAATCCCCCCTCCCCCAGGGAGAGCATTAATCCATTCATGAGGGACCCACCCCCATGACTCAATCAGCTTCCAACACTACCACACTGGAGATCAAATTTCCACATGAGTTTTGGAGGGGACAACACATCCAAACTCCATCAATAGGGAAAGTCTTGATCATATCTGTCTCAGTACTGGACAAATCATCTAGGCAACAAACCAACAGAGGATCAGTTAATCTATCAGATGGAGAGAACAAATCTATGGTGATTAGAAGGGAGAGGGGAAGGGGAAGGGTAGAGATTGGATAAGGGGCATAAAGAATAAGTATGATTTGTAACAAAGAACAGGCTAATAAAAAATTCTGATGTAAGTCACACTATTATCCTGTGTGTAAGTATCTCCTATCTGTAGCTGTGCTGGCTTCTATCAAGATAAATTTTTAACAAATAATATTTATATGCATAAGTGTAGCATACTTGGGGCTGTTTTGTGCACTGTAGGCTGTGCAGCAGCATCTCTGACTTCTTTCCACTAGACCTTTTAACTTCCAGTTATGACAACAAAAATGTCTTCAGACATAGCCAAATGTCCCCTGGCAGGCAATATCACCACTCATGTTTAACTGTTGTTAGTCAAAACTTTAAAAATACTTTTGATCCTATATCTATCAATTCTATTTGAAAATTTGCATTCACATTACATAAGTTGATCATTTTCATTTCAAATTATCTGATGTATAAAAATGAAAGCTATGTTGAAAGCTTTGACACATGAAAGATATTGATGAAGATAAACTTATTGTCACTGTTTAATGAGAAGTCCCTGACTGGTAAGGTGTTCCATATTTATTGCATTGTTTCTCCCCATAATTGAATTTTCCCTTAAGTAGTCTTGGGTATAAAAGGTGACAATATAGTTTTCTCTTCTGTGTGAATATTCTCATACTCAGGAACTGGTAACTTCTCTCAGAAAGTTCATAAAGTCAGTTAGCACAGTGGGCTACTTGTAACACAAAGAGATCACACATGGAATGGGAAACCATAGTAAGCATTTCTTACATAAAGTATGAATAGAGGATTTGGGGATAAAGTTGGAAAGAACTATATATTCTTCAATTCAGTCTGCCTTAAATTATGGTGAATTTCTCCCTCCCTGACTCTACCCTATGAGTCATCTGCCCTTGACCCCCAGAGAATGAGAAATCAGGGACAAATGCATGAACATTTTTTTTTTATTGCCTGGCCTGGAAATAATGTTTATCACCTGTATCCATACTCCCCTGAACAGAGCTAAATTACGTGGTTCCATATACAATAATTAAAGGCTGAGATTGCAGGCATGTGTACAAAAGAAAAAAGGTGTTTTCAGAAAATACATACCCAGTCTAATCCATGCAGAAGTTCCTCCCTATGTAAATTATCTCATGCCTGCTGCAGTGTGAGTTCTTTTTACTTTACTTTTTCTTTCTTTTTTTTTTTTTTTTTTTTCCTCAAGTGGCTGGTCATGGTGTTACCACCACCATGCTCTAAACAACAATACACTAACTATAGCCAGCACTGTAAGTGCTGAAAAAAGATGTTTTCACAATTATTGACCCTGTTCTATATCTGAGGGTTGCACATCTGCTGATTCAACCACTTATAAAAATCAAAAGAAAAAAATAAAACTATAATACAAGTAAAAAAACAACACAGTATAACAACTATTTACAAGGAATTCCTTCTATATTCAGTAATATAAACATTTGACTCAAGATGTAAAGGACACAGAAAAAGTTTCATAGGTAATATTGAAACAGTACACCATTTATAGAAGGGGTGTCATTATTTGTAAGTGTTTTCATCAACAAAGGCTCCTGGAACCAACCTCCAATACCAAAGGACAGCTGTGCATTTATAGGGCTTCTTCTTGGTGTGAGTTCTCTGATGAAACATGACATGTGATTTATGGCAAAACCTTCTCCCACAGTTATTACATTAATTGGTATTTTCCAATGTGTGAATTCGTTCATGTCTTTTATGGTGCATTCCAGTAAACTGTTTTCCCACATTCCTTACATTCACATGGTTTCTCACCTATATGAATTCTTTGATGGCTGCTGAGGTTTGACTTTTGATTAAGAGCTTTTCCACATTCTTGCATTCATATGGTTTCTCACCTGTGTGAGTTCTCTTATGCCTTCTGAGGTCTACCTTTTGGTTAAAAGCTTTTCTAAATTCTTTACATTAATATGGTTTCTCACCTGTGTGAGCTCTCTGATGAATGTTGAAGTATAACTTTTTCCTAAAAGCTTTTCCACATTCTTTACATTCATATAGTTTCTCACCTGTGTGAGTTATCTCATGCTTGTTGAGGTCTCCTGTGTGGTTAAAAGCTTTTCCACATTCTTTGCATTCATATGGGTTCTCACCTGTGTGACTTCTCTCATGCCTGCTGAGTTCTGCCTTTTCGCTAAAAGCTTTTCCACATTCTTTACATTCATAGGGTTTCTCACCTGTGTGAATTTTCTGATGCCTGCTAAGGTTTGACTTTCGGTTAAAAGTTTTTCCACATTCTCTACATTCATATAGTTTCTCACCCGTGTGACTTCTCTGATGAATGCTGAGGTCTACCTTGTAGTTAAAAACTTTTCCACATTCTTTACACTTATATAGTTTCTCACCTGTGTGAGTTTTCTGATGACTGCTGAGATGGGACTTTCGGTTAAAAGCTTGTCCACATTCTTTGCATTCATATGGTTTCTCACCTGTGTGATTTCTCTGATGAATGTTGAGGTCTGACTTTCGGTTAAAAGTTTTTCCACATTCTCTACATTCATATGGTTTCTCACCTGTGTGATTTCTCTGATGAATGCTGAGATATGACTTTACCCTAAAAGCTTTTCCACATTCTTTACATTCATATGGTTTCTCACCTGTATGTGTTCTCTCATGCTTGTTGAGGTCTCCCTTGTAGTTATAAGCTTTTCCACATTCTTTACATTCATATGGTTTCACACCTGTATGTGTTCTCTCATGCCTCCTGAGGTCTCCCTTGTAGTTAAAAGCTTTTCCACAGCCTTTACATTCATATGGTTTCTCACCTGTGTGAATTCTCTGGTGAATGCTGATGTATGACTTTTGGCTAAAAGCTTTTCCACAGTCTTTACATTCATATGGTTTCTCACCTGTGTGACTTCTCTGATGAATGCTGAAGTATGACTTGTAGCTAAAAGCTTTTCCACATTCTTTGCATTCATATGGTTTCTCACCTGTATGTGTTCTCTCATGCCTGCTGAGGTCTCTCTTGTAGTTAAAAGCTTTTCCACATTCTTTACATTCATATAGTTTCTCACCCATGTGAGTTCTCTGATGAATGCTGAAATTTGACTTTTGGCTAAAAGCTTTTCCACAGTCTTTACATTCATATGGTTTCTCATCTGTGTGAGTCCTCTGATGAATGCTGAAGTTTGACTTTTGGGTAAAAGTTTTTCCACACTGTCTACATTCATCTGATTTCTCACATGTGTGAATTCTCTGGTATACAGTGAGGGCAGACTCATGGTAGAAAAATTTTGTACATTCATTACATCCACCTGGTATTTCACCCCTGTGAATTCTCTCAGGATGGCTGAGGAGTGAATTCTCACAGCTTTTTCCACAGTTAATACTTCCATAGTACATTTCTCCTGTGTGAGTTCTCTGATGCATTGTAAGGTCTGACTTCTGACAAAAAATTTTCTCACATTCATTACAACCATAAAGCTTCTGTGTAGGTGTTTTCTGATGTGAGGTAAGGTATAATTTCTTAAAAGATTTCTCACATTCAGAATATTTATAGTGTTTCTCTCCTGTGTGCATAATCTGATGTTTAGGGAGTTCAGACATTTTATAGAACATTTTCCCACATATACCACATTGAAAAGTTTTCCTTGCTACCTGATTTATTTTTTGGGCAATGACAGCTGACTTACCACAGCCTTTTCTGTATTTGTTATACTTACAGGTGGTCTCATCCATATGCATCTTTTTATGTGTAAGCATCATGGGCTCTGTGTTGGAGGATTTCCCTCTTCCATTGTATTCTAAAGGCTGCTTCCTAGTTTGAATATTGGGAAGATGCTGGCTAAGATGCTCATGACGTCTGGGCAAGTTTCCAGCTACATGATGGTCATCAGGTTTCTCTGCAGCAGGCATCTCACCAGGCTCTCCAGGAAGAAGTGCATTCTGACATGTGTAAAACTCCTCATGTCCCTTTCCTGAATAGTTCTCATTATTTATAATCAGATTTAAAACTTGACATGAATTCAAATAAAGTGATTTTCCTAACACAACTCTCTCCTCAGCTGATGTGTTGCTGTTGGTGATTACAATTTGCTGCAAGCATCTACCAAGACTTTCTTGGTTCCTCTCCACAAGGTCATCATCTATCTGGACATCTGAAATGAGAAAAAAAATAATTAATAATGAACTACACGTAAGCACATCTCTGATTGCTCAAGTAAAGGTACAGAAGTACCATCCAATCCTAGTAACAAAAGATTTTATTTAAAAATCAATAATGGAGGTTGGTTTCATGAGTTTATGAAGTTTTTTCTTACTGACAATGTAATACTATACTAATATATTTTCTAATGTTATATCATGTTTTTCTTTCCTTCTTTGTTCATTTTTAAATTTTAATTTATGAGTATTTGTTAAGAATTTTTATTTTCTGCTTACTTGTCGTTTTCAACTAAGCACCTTTCATTTCTTTACACCATTTTCTGTTTCATCTTTACAACAATGGGTCTCTCCTGCTGCTATTTTCTCACTATCTCACTTTGAAGATGCCTAGGTTTTCTTTCATCAGCTACTTTCAGGTACAGAAGTGAGCCAATTTTTTTTATCACATATGAAGGAACATGGCTGAGGATAAGTATTCTGCATTTATGTTTATATGCTTTACACTCCTCCTTTAGAAAATGGGTATAGGAATGTGGAAGTTTTTCAAAGAACAAGATATCCTTTTCTCTACCCTAGACAAAGATAGCTTCCTCCAAGTTTTTCATTTAACCTGACTTCCTGTTTCTCACAAACCATTACAATAAAGGAAATGTCAGTTCTCCACCCTAGAAACCCACTTCTGTTCTAAAATATTTGTTTCTGCATCTAAGGCTGTTCCCACCATCTTTGAAATATGTTCTTTTTACTCCTTCTCAAGTCAACTTGTATTTTATTCCCAATTTCTGGTACGTGGACCACCACTTGATAATTCATTTCTTGTGAAAGCTTTTGTTTTGTGCAGTGAAGTTTTAGTGGTCTTCTACTCTCATACAGAGTCTCCAGCACATTTCTCATTTTGTTTTTTTTGTTCTGAATGATTTCCACAAATAAAACAGAAAAGTGCTAACTTTGAACTCCGCTCCCAATCAACAATCTTGTCCCCTCAACATGGAAGCCTTAGTTCACATGGCCTTGGCACCCAGATCTCTTAGTTTCCCTCAAAGTCAAGGACCCCACTTTCCATTCTCCCATGCAGGGTTCTCCTCAGCTTCATAATTTTTGATGTGGTGGTACAAGGCTCACTGTTGTACCTCTTTTCCTATTTTCTTAGCAAACTGCTATGTGATACCCTACACTACTTTGGGATTCTGTGAAGAGTCCCCACCAGAACAACAGTCCTCACCGGGTGCAACCCCTTAAACTTGGAAGGCTGAGCCTGCAGAACAGACTTGTAAGAAAGATTTTTTCTTTATAAATTACCCAAGTTGCAGGTATTCTGTCAGAAACAACAGAAAACAAGCACATACAGTATAAAAAAATGTACATGAGAATTGAAGACACAAGCACAACTGAAAATGTTAAGAAAACAAATGGGAAAAATAAATGTCAAGGAAGAGAAATGTAGGAATTAGATTTTGGGTACATACAAAACAGATTCAGCCAAATAAAATATTGGGATGTACATGGGACACCCCACCTTGGAGATTATGTAATACACGATTACAGATGAGTCATCCTCAAGTCTGGGACTTGCAGGGGAAATTGTTAGAAACAGCTGAACACTGCCAACATCTAATGAGCTTTACTTTTCTTGGGTTCTGCACTGTATGTGCTGACAAATCTTGCAGGATATGGTTTGGGCATTCTTCTATTGTCCATGCCTCTGCTCCTTCTTCTAACTTGACAATCACCTCAGCTTTGTTAATGCAGTGTTCTGTTAATGGGAAGTAATGTAGGACTTTGTAAAACTGCTAAGTCTGATCCTTGGAAGAATGGAAAGAGCTCAGCTTCAGACATTGTGCAAATAAAGAGGCCAATTTGAACCTCATGAGAAAGAGAGCATATTTTCAAGAAATGTAATCATACCAAAAAAGCATGAATCCTTATAAATGGTTCCTATGTTTATGAAAAAAGAAACTTTTTCTCCTGAAAGTTAATGGGGAGTTTACTCACTCAGTGACACCAGGTTGCTGTAGGTCTCCAGCATCACATCCCTATACAAAGTCCTCTGGGCATCATTCAGGTCCTGCCACTCCTCCCAGGTGAAGTCCACAGCCACATCCTCAAATGATACCAACTCCTGTAATGACACACTGTTCTCAACTCAAGTCAACATTCCTGGGACACGAAACTAATCTGGGAGTCCACGCCTGTATGTGTGCATGTGTCATATGTGTCTTATATAAGATGCCACTTTTTTGTACTCCATAGAATGGGAGGAAGAAAAATCAAAGGACAAATACCCTGATACTATATTAAGTTATTAATTACTAAAAATAATATTACAAAACTTAGTTTATACCTTAAGAAATATCCTTGTTGCTAGTGATAAAAGAGTGAATAAAATTTTTTTCTCAGGTGAGTATAAACAGGCATGAAGACATAAGTACAAATACATATCTGAAATACCGTGTTAGATGAACAAATTTAAACACAAATTCAATATAGATGAGCATAAAAAGAAATAGAAAATAGTTTTATTTTGTATTCAGTTTGCACTTCACTGAAATGCCAAAGATGTTAAACTCTTCCATGTGAACTGTATGGTCTCATGAATATGAAGTAACAGCAAAAGTCTAGTCACAAGAACACAAAGAACACACCCCACATTAATAGAACTACACACAGCACCATGTCTGTCATCTCTCCCAGGGTTACAGAGATGAAAAGGATTACTCAAAGCCCATTTCCCCAGATCAATGAGAGGCCCAAAGGGATTAATCCCAGGAGGAATTCCCTCAAGAGAGAAGGATCCCAGGAGTAACCCTAAATCAGGTTTTCTCTATTTTTACTGTCCAAGCAAGAAAGTTACAGAAAAGAACACAGGTGGCTAATCAGTCATAGTGCAAACAATTTACTACCTAAGGAGTCAAAAAAACTAAGCTATGTGAAGTACAAAAAGAAACAATGAGATAATCATCATGGCAACAGTTCCCTAAGAAACTTAAACAGCCAAAGGCAAGTTGTAGAACATCCTGCAACCATCAACCTTGAAGTTTTTAGTGCACACACTTTCCCATCATTAGGTTTAGCTGCACCAAGGACAATGGCCTATAGAGCAATCACTTTTGCTGTTACAATTTTCTTATCTACAACAGAGATTCTAGTCCTGAGAAAGTCTGTTGATTCCCAAGCTTAGCACTTCTATGTGTAATTCTAAAAGGTTAGGCTATTCCTTAAACTACAGGGCTTTGGCCCTGCTAAAACTCAGGGCTGTGGCCCTACTAATACTACCTATGATAAGGGCTCTGGCCCAACTAAAACTAAGGACTGTGGTTCTACTAAGCCAAAGGTTAAGTAAGCCCCTTTGAAATACATGTGCTTTATTAATGTGAGTATCCTCCACACATCTGAGTGAATGATCTTGGGTGGCATAACAGAAAAACAATATTGAAGCAAGTGATTATATAATGATTCTTCACTTAAATATGGGACCTATTTCAAACAGTAAAATATTTTATGTAGTTATCGTATTTTAACTACTTATGAATTAAAAGTACATAAAAAAGGCATTCCAAAATTTCCTTCCTATGTGCCAAAGGATTGCTTGTGTCCACACCAGGGTTTAAATTGCAACTTTCTAAACCACAGGGAGCAAAAAATGTGGTCCTTTAAATACATAACTTTATTTGCATTTTAATAGTCATACACTACAAAGAGAATGGAAAACGCTTTTAGGAAAAGTCAGAGGGAAAAAGAAAACAGGGTGACAGAAGACCAACTACATTACAACATAGAGAAATAAGCACACACAACAGAGACTTAACACTATGAAAAAGAAACGGAATGAAAAAGAAGAAATACAATGTGGTAGTAATCTGCTTTGCAGAAATTAAAAAGAAGAGTTTTACTCTCAGGCTACCTACATAAGCACAGTGCAAGGAAAACAGAGTAGTCAGTCCCTCACACCTCAGGCCTGGCTGGGTGTGGTGCAGCACATTCTTTGTAAACAAGTTGTGTGGGAGCAGAGCTAGTGCACATGTGCACCCATGTATTTTTAGCTTGTTGCTATTCTTCTGTGCTCTTCAGAGTGTGTGAAGCAGAGGCTCTGAATGGCTGGTCGGCAGAGCTTGCATCTAGAAATAAAGCCTATTATTTTTTCATCCAAGGCTCCAGGACCTTTTCCTGTTACCTAGCTCACAGATCTGCATGTGAAGGTTTTGCAAATGGGCCCAAGGGGTCTGTGAGACCTAGCCATAGCTCTACAATTGGTGTAGTCTGGCAGGATTCTGAGCAGGTACGGGAGCCAAAAGCCCTTGGGAGAAGAAGGAAATGTGGCTACTTTTGAATATGTTGTGCCCTATGGCCTCTCTCCTGTTGACCAGGATCTGGTTGCTGTTCACTATATTGCAAGTCAACATAGACTAGGGACTACAGTGGAGAACCCCAAAAGGGGGAGGAAATGTGGCTATCCTTGAGCATGTGGTACCCAGTGGCCACTTTTCTGCTGACCGGAGCCTAGCTACTGCTCACTATGCTGCACACTGATCGAGATTTGAAGCAGAGAGCAGAGCTGTTGGAAGTGCAGATAAATATCCTGGAGGATGACGTGCAGTGGCTGGCCACTCCTGCTTCTCACACCAGAAAGGATGACAAACCCAGTGGTTAGTTGGGGGAGACTGTGTCTCCAGGCATGGCCTGTTGTGCATCAGAAAGTCAAACACAAGCAGGCTATGGGACCGGGTGAACAACCAGTAGGCAATTAACAGGTGACTCAATTCACTACCTATGTCCAGTATACCCAGGTTGAATTAGTTGATTTGGGGAGACAGCTCTGGCAGAAACGGGGAGCCCCTGGCTGCTTGACGCCTATGGTTATGGGACCTAGGGGTAGATAGTTTGATGTGCTCTGATGAGGAGATGGAAAAATTGGCCTCCATTACCATACATCTGTCCCTGAGGCAGCGGCTACAGAATAGCCGCAGATATGCACAAAGGCCAGGTAATCACTCAATGGAACGGATGAATGCAGCTGCCTGAACCATGTGGGCAAATGCTGGAAAACTGCCCAAGATTGTTAGTAAATGACAAACATACGCTGAGTTAGTACAAATAATTTAGGAGCTGGGGATGTGGCAGTCCATGTTTGAACTGAACACCTGTAGCCCAGATGATGAAAATTTTACAGGCAGCATGAGAGACACAGTGCTGCAAAATGCCCCATCAACGTCCTTTGGGTCGCTGATGGCCATACTGACCCCCTACATTGGTTGTCCTATACATGCGGTAATGACCATGATAGCTAGCTTGGGTGAAGTAGAGGATAGGAGACAAACAAAAGGGGTCCAAAAGGTGGCTAAGACCAAACCCCCAAGAAATGCTTAGGATTTTATCCCAAAGGAACCAAGCAAGACTAGCTATAAGCAGATGTGGCTTGATGTGCTTGCAGCAGGAGTTGAGAGCAAGAAAACTGACCGGCAGCTAAATACGGTTCTGTTTGCCTTGTGGCAGCAACTGCACCCTGAACAGCATTTCACCAAATATCCAGAAACAGGGAGCAAGGTATGCTTAGCGGATTTAAAGAATTTTTGGTTGCTCCTAAGGAGGTGGATGAAATGCTCCATTCTGATTAGAGAGCAGGCCAAGGTACTCATCTTTTGGGGCCAGGCGAGGACCAGAGGCCTCACGCTGAATTGGCAATACACTGGTCAAGGACAAATGTGCAGTGTGTTTTGGCATTGGTGGATACAGGTGCAGAATGTAGCCTGATATATGGCAATCCAGATAAGTTTCCCAGGGCCACAGGTCATGTAGATAGCTATGGAAGACATACTACTGAAGTTAAAGCTGTGTCACTGCCACTGGGCATAGGACGATTACCCCCTCATGTGTATAATGTATATATCCCCAGCAGCTGAATACATCTTGGATATGGATGTACTTTATGGTTTGCACCTGCAAACAACAGTTGGAGAGTTTCAGCTGTGAATATGGACAGTAAAACCTGTGTTACAAGGATATGCTAAACATGACCCACAGGTGTTACCCAAGCCAAGATGTGTAGTTAATGTAAAGCAGTATTGCCTACCGGGAGGACATGCAGAGAAAGATGCCCCTATATTGGAGTTAGAGAAAGTTGGCATGATTTATCCAGCTCATAGCACATTTTATGCTCCGGGATTGCCAGTGAAAAAACCTGATGGTACCTGGAGAATGACTGTAGACTACTGAGAACTAAGCAAAGTAGCACCTCCTTTGCATGCAGCTGTGTCTTCAGCTCACAACTTGATGGATCTGCTGACGAACTCAGCTGGGAATTTATTATGTATTGGACCTTGCAAATGCTTTTTTTTTCTATTCCAATCTCAGCTGATAGCCAAGATCAGTTCGCCTTCATCTGGGAAGGAAGGTAGTGGACCTTTCAAGTACTGCCCCAAGGTTATCTGCATAGCCCAACCATCTGTCATGGTTTAGTGGCTGGGGACCTGGCCAAGTGGACTAGGCCCAGCATGGTCACAATGTTTCACTGCATTTATGACATGTTACTAACCTCTGATTCTCTTACAGATTTAACCCAGGCAGCTCCAATGCTACTAAGTCATTTGGAATAATGTGGGTGGGCCATGAACACAGCCAAAGTACAGGACCTGCGCTGTTAGTCAAATTCTTGGGAGTGGTCTGGTCAGGTAAGACAAGAGTCATCCCAGAAGCTATTATAGATAAGATACAGGCATACCCATGACCCACAACTGTAGCTCAGCTACAGACATATTTGGGACTTCTGGGGTATTAGAGAGTTTTTGTACCCCACATGGCCCAAATGGCAAACCCAATGTATGCATTAATGAAGAAAGGAGCCCTCTGGGATTGGACTGAGGAAGTAGAACAGGCTTACCAAGCTACAGAAAGGTCAATACAGCAAGTACAGGCTTTACAAGTGGCTGATCCCACTAAGCCTTTTGAATTAGATGTACATATAACCCAAGAAGTGTTAGGATGGGGTTTGTGGCTAAGATAAGACCAATTATGAACACCTGTGGGATTCTGGTCTCAGCTCAAGAAGGGTGCTGAAGTGCATTACTCCCTAAAAGAAAAATAGCGGCTGTGTATTCTGCCTTGATAGCCACTGAAGCTATCACA